ATGACAATAGAGTTAAACCTAATACTCAAATTTATTGAGTTGGAGGAAATTTCAATCTTTTATTTAAGTTGGACTAATATTTTATTGTATTCTATTCTTCCAATAAATCTCCTTAATCATAATCTAATTAAATTCATCCACAATTTTTATATTAGATTTTTCTTTTTTCTTTTTAAAGGTGAAACCTTAATTACAACACTCAAGTCTTTAGAATAAAAAAACATTCATTCTCGTACAAAGTTTATACCATTGTTGTTATGTGAATTAGAAGAAGAAAAAAACCTGCTTTGTTTGTTATTTGTTCAATTAAAAAGCACAAGTAAAAAGAATTAAGAATGGTTAAAAGTATATGTAAAATTCTACTTGTTTCACTTGTAAGAACAAAAGATGTGTTTATGTATTTGAAGTGAACAACAAATTTTGAAACTTTGGGATGAGATTTTGAAGTTATTGTTCATTATGTTGATTTCAAATAATCATTTAGTATTATCTGTCCACTAAAAAAGAGTTTATTTGTTAGAATCTCATATTTATTAAAAGAGATAAATATATGCAGTGACAGACCTTCGGGGTGTCAAAACATATATATACAAAAAAAATTAAATATATATATATATATATATATATATATATATACAAAATATACTAAAATTAAAATAAATTATTATTTTTTATATATTAATTTAAATATATTGAAAAAAAATTGGGGCCACAGCTCCCTGTAATACTAAAGAGCTTCGCAACTGAATATATGATATAATTTAGTTCAAGGAGAAGAATTGTTAAGTTTATTTTAGATATTTTATTTATAACTTATTTCTAGAAAGTTATGTATATACCTAACAATTCTCTTTTTGTCTCACTCTATTATATAAAACATATATATAATCAAATCAATTTGTCTAATAGTAGAATTATTATTTTTATCTCCTAATTTTCTCCTTTTTCGATTTAGTCTTCCTAATATTATATATAAACCATCTATTTTTATTTTTTATGTAACCACTACTATTATTTTTATTTTCTCAGAAGATATAGAGAATAATAGTGTCTCTTTCCCTTATAACTTCTTTTACACAACACAAATTTTATATAATAAGTACTCTATTTTTTATAATAAGATGTACTATTTTTATGGTTGGAAATCTTAATTAATGATAATGTTATTGGTTTTGCCAATGACTTAACAATAAACATATTCCAACCATAACAAGTGACAAATCTAGATAATATATAATAATAGAAACAAAGCGAAAACCATGGTTTTTCTCATATAAACAATAGCAACACATGGAAAACTTAGGGTATTAAAAAATATAGGAGTGTAGATCACATGTTCAATTCTCTAAGCTAATCCAACTTAATACCAATTAAAGATGAGATTGCATGAGGTTGATGTGATATTATTTATAATAAAATATCAAAACATATACGTAATTAGTTGACTTTAAGTGTTTAAATTAATGAAAATTATTAAAAGAATATATATTTAAAATTAATATGATATAGATTGTAATAAATAATGAGTTATATAGTAATACTTTTGGTATTAAGAAGTTGTTGAAATAAATAAATATGAAATTGAACTTGTATCTTTTAAATAGATATGAAAAATAAGTAAATTTGGCTCATATAAGTTGGTAAAATATAGAATGAGATTTTTTTATCCCGATTTAAAAATTTTGTAATCTAACTCTCTATCTAGATTAACTCAATTAATTATGCATATTATTTCTTGTTTTATTTCATCTACCAGTTATTAGTTTTCAGTTTCATTTCGAATAAAAAAAACATTATAAAGATGCTGAAGCTGTATTGAATTTGAATTTAAATAAGCAAAATTATTCTAATAAATTTAAGAATTTAAATAGAAGATAAATACCACTAACTTAATTTGAACTCATTTAACCAAATTAAATGAATTGAGTTTATTTTTACTCAATTGGTCAGTGTTTAATTTCTTTTTTAAGTTAAGTCAGCTCAATTGAAACTTATTTGATTTTTCTACTTTCAAGTATTTAAGAGATTTCATTAAAAGTAATTAATAGCTGAAAAAAATAAACTTTATTATATATCTCTTTATAAAGGGAAAAGAAAATTGCATTTGGAGAGTTTTATGAAGATAATTCATATTAGATATACCTACCACAATAACATCACATGACAAAAAAAAAATAGTCAGGTATGCATTAATTATTATAATTAATGATTATAAGGTACGGTTCTCTTTAATTGTCATTAAATAACTTTTGCAGTAAATAAAATTGTATTGTTTATGTTTTTTTTATAACAAATTTTCAAACTCTATATTTCTTGGAGATTAATATATTCTTCACTGAAAACAACATAATTGTCTGTCTAACTTTGTGTTTGATGAGAACTTTGTCTCTTTCTGAAACCCACCAAAATATTGAACAGCAGCCAAAATAATTGAGTCTTGCAGTTGAAAAGTTTGGCCAAATAAATGAAAATGATTTATTATCATAATTAGCTTGGTCATGGTGCCTCTTATGAGAAAAATAAAAGTGAACATTTAAATTTTCAATTAAATTTCTATATCCTCAAAATCTTGAATGCAATTAATTTAGTTAAAATTAGACTTGAATCCTTTATTTTATTAATTTTTTTTTCTTTAATTTTGAAGACTGGATCTATATTTTTCTTTTGCTTTTATTGATTTGATTTTAATGGCTAAAAATTAATTTTTTGATCAAAAAGTGATTAAACCAAACAACTTATATATAAAAAAAAAACTAATTTAGTCTTCTATTCTTTAACATTTTGTCGGGATATTTTTTATTTGGAAAAAAAAATATTTTTAATATTTATATTTTGGTTAAATTTTATTTAGTCCCTTTTTTAATTCATGAATTATGTCTAATTGTTTTGAAAACATATAAAACTAATCCGTTTCTTTTACAACGAAATTCAGCATTAAGTATTTTTTTTTCCTCTTAGAAGAGAGATAATTAATATATTTTTTTATTTTAGAAACTAATTTATCGAATTCAAAATATAGAGAGTAAAATCAAGTTTCAAAAAATGAATAAAAAGGACTAAAAACTCTCCTTTTTTTTGCTCTTAAAACTGTCATTAATATTGCAAACCTCAAAAAGCATATAATAACCAATTATCCTATTTAGGGTGAGAATCATTATAAAGGGTAAAATTTATTAAGTATCTTAATTGTATTGTAAAAAGAAGTAAAGATAATATTGAAAATTGTATAATAATAAATAAAACAATATGTGTAACATGTTGATGAAGTAACAATTAACGAATATTTTAATCATTAATATGAAGTTAGGGTACATAAAATTTTATGCAAATGCATCTTTAAGGCAAAACCTTTGTAAAGTATGCATTAATTAATAAAAGGATTGCATAATAATCTCTTATACTTTTGACTATTTTTGAGATATGTATGGACATGACGTGTTTCCATATAATGTGTTGAAAAATCTACAAAATGGATAACCATTAAGTAAATAATGACGTTAAATAAAAGTAAAATAATATAAATTAAAAATTAAAATTTCTTATAATTTTAAATATAAAATCTTAAATAAAAAAAATAAATTAGTATATCTGAAAATACAAAAGATGAAAATTAGAAGTATTCTAAAAAAGCACGTTTAAAAAACATTGTGTTTGTTTCTGATATCTAATTTTCATCTTATGCAGGTGTGTGTTGGATAGAAGAAAGAGTTTGACCTTTAAGAAGTAACAGCAGAAACAGAAAAAGAGACAGAAAGAAAAGATGAGTTTGAGAGAGGAAAATGAAGAGGGAAGGGATCTGAAGAAGCCATTTCTTCACACAGGAAGTTGGTATCGTATGAGTGGGAGACAATCCAGTGTGTTTGGTTCCACACAGGCCATTCGTGATTCCTCCATCTCAGTCATTGCTTGTGTTCTGATCGTTGCTTTGGGTCCTCTTCAGTTTGGTTTCACTGTAAGAATCTATTTTTCTTGCAAAACCAATGGCATAAACAAAAGGGTAACTCACAAAACATGATCTTGATCATTTTCTGACAGGCAGGTTATACCTCACCTACCCAAGCTGCTATAATCACTGATCTAGGCCTCTCGGTCTCCGAGGTATTCGTGAATGGGAATTTTATATATTAATTTAAATATATTGAAAAAAAATTGGGGCCACAGCTCCCTGTAATACTAAAGAGCTTCGCAACTGAATATATGATATAATTTAGTTCAAGGAGAAGAATTGTTAAGTTTATTTTAGATATTTTATTTATAACTTATTTCTAGAAAGTTATGTATATACCTAACAATTCTCTTTTTGTCTCACTCTATTATATAAAACATATATATAATCAAATCAATTTGTCTAATAGTAGAATTATTATTTTTATCTCCTAATTTTCTCCTTTTTCGATTTAGTCTTCCTAATACTATATATAAACCATCTATTTTTATTTTTTATGTAACCACTACTATTATTTTTATTTTCTCAGAAGATATAGAGAATAATAGTGTCTCTTTCCCTTATAACTTCTTTTACACAACACAAATTTTATATAATAAGTACTCTATTTTTTATAATAAGATGTACTATTTTTATGGTTGGAAATCTTAATTAATGATAATGTTATTGGTTTTGCCAATGACTTAACAATAAACATATTCCAACCATAACAAGTGACAAATCTAGATAATATATAATAATAGAAACAAAGCGAAAACCATGGTTTTTCTCATATAAACAATAGCAACACATGGAAAACTTAGGGTATTAAAAAATATAGGAGTGTAGATCACATGTTCAATTCTCTAAGCTAATCCAACTTAATACCAATTAAAGATGAGATTGCATGAGGTTGATGTGATATTATTTATAATAAAATATCAAAACATATACGTAATTAGTTGACTTTAAGTGTTTAAATTAATGAAAATTATGAAAAGAATATATATTTAAAATTAATATGATATAGATTGTAATAAATAATGAGTTATATAGTAATACTTTTGGTATTAAGAAGTTGTTGAAATAAATAAATATGAAATTGAACTTGTATCTTTTAAATAGATATGAAAAATAAGTAAATTTGGCTCATATAAGTTGGTAAAATATAGAATGAGATTTTTTTATCCCGATTTAAAAATTTTGTAATCTAACTCTCTATCTAGATTAACTCAATTAATTATGCATATTATTTCTTGTTTTATTTCATCTACCAGTTATTAGTTTTCAGTTTCATTTCGAATAAAAAAAACATTATAAAGATGCTGAAGCTGTATTGAATTTGAATTTAAATAAGCAAAATTATTCTAATAAATTTAAGAATTTAAATAGAAGATAAATACCACTAACTTAATTTGAACTCATTTAACCAAATTAAATGAATTGAGTTTATTTTTACTCAATTGGTCAGTGTTTAATTTCTTTTTTAAGTTAAGTCAGCTCAATTGAAACTTATTTGATTTTTCTACTTTCAAGTATTTAAGAGATTTCATTAAAAGTAATTAATAGCTGAAAAAAATAAACTTTATTATATATCTCTTTATAAAGGGAAAAGAAAATTGCATTTGGAGAGTTTTATGAAGATAATTCATATTAGATATACCTACCACAATAACATCACATGACAAAAAAAAATAGTCAGGTATGCATTAATTATTATAATTAATGATTATAAGGTACGGTTCTCTTTAATTGTCATTAAATAACTTTTGCAGTAAATAAAATTGTATTGTTTATGTTTTTTTTATAACAAATTTTCAAACTCTATATTTCTTGGAGATTAATATATTCTTCACTGAAAACAACATAATTGTCTGTCTAACTTTGTGTTTGATGAGAACTTTGTCTCTTTCTGAAACCCACCAAAATATTGAACAGCAGCCAAAATAATTGAGTCTTGCAGTTGAAAAGTTTGGCCAAATAAATGAAAATGATTTATTATCATAATTAGCTTGGTCATGGTGCCTCTTATGAGAAAAATAAAAGTGAACATTTAAATTTTCAATTAAATTTCTATATCCTCAAAATCTTGAATGCAATTAATTTAGTTAAAATTAGACTTGAATCCTTTATTTTATTAATTTTTTTTTCTTTAATTTTGAAGACTGGATCTATATTTTTCTTTTGCTTTTATTGATTTGATTTTAATGGCTAAAAATTAATTTTTTGATCAAAAAGTGATTAAACCAAACAACTTATATATAAAAAAAAAACTAATTTAGTCTTCTATTCTTTAACATTTTGTCGGGATATTTTTTATTTGGAAAAAAAAATATTTTTAATATTTATATTTTGGTTAAATTTTATTTAGTCCCTTTTTTAATTCATGAATTATGTCTAATTGTTTTGAAAACATATAAAACTAATCCGTTTCTTTTACAACGAAATTCAGCATTAAGTATTTTTTTTTCCTCTTAGAAGAGAGATAATTAATATATTTTTTTATTTTAGAAACTAATTTATCGAATTCAAAATATAGAGAGTAAAATCAAGTTTCAAAAAATGAATAAAAAGGACTAAAAACTCTCCTTTTTTTTGCTCTTAAAACTGTCATTAATATTGCAAACCTCAATAAGCATATAATAACCAATTATCCTATTTAGGGTGAGAATCATTATAAAGGGTAAAATTTATTAAGTATCTTAATTGTATTGTAAAAAGAAGTAAAGATAATATTGAAAATTGTATAATAATAAATAAAACAATATGTGTAACATGTTGATGAAGTAACAATTAACGAATATTTTAATCATTAATATGAAGTTAGGGTACATAAAATTTTATGCAAATGCATCTTTAAGGCAAAACCTTTGTAAAGTATGCATTAATTAATAAAAGGATTGCATAATAATCTCTTATACTTTTGACTATTTTTGAGATATGTATGGACATGACGTGTTTCCATATAATGTGTTGAAAAATCTACAAAATGGATAACCATTAAGTAAATAATGACGTTAAATAAAAGTAAAATAATATAAATTAAAAATTAAAATTTCTTATAATTTTAAATATAAAATCTTAAATAAAAAAAATAAATTAGTATATCTGAAAATACAAAAGATGAAAATTAGAAGTATTCTAAAAAAGCACGTTTAAAAAACATTGTGTTTGTTTCTGATATCTAATTTTCATCTTATGCAGGTGTGTGTTGGATAGAAGAAAGAGTTTGACCTTTAAGAAGTAACAGCAGAAACAGAAAAAGAGACAGAAAGAAAAGATGAGTTTGAGAGAGGAAAATGAAGAGGGAAGGGATCTGAAGAAGCCATTTCTTCACACAGGAAGTTGGTATCGTATGAGTGGGAGACAATCCAGTGTGTTTGGTTCCACACAGGCCATTCGTGATTCCTCCATCTCAGTCATTGCTTGTGTTCTGATCGTTGCTTTGGGTCCTCTTCAGTTTGGTTTCACTGTAAGAATCTATTTTTCTTGCAAAACCAATGGCATAAACAAAAGGGTAACTCACAAAACATGATCTTGATCATTTTCTGACAGGCAGGTTATACCTCACCTACCCAAGCTGCTATAATCACTGATCTAGGCCTCTCGGTCTCCGAGGTATTCGTGAATGGGAATTTGAGAATGATCAAGTGTTGAATTGTTTGATCATGGTTCCTTATTTTTGTGTTTCACAACTTCACTTTGTGTTCGTTGGGCAGTTTTCTTTGTTTGGTTCTTTGTCCAATGTCGGTGCCATGGTTGGAGCAATAGCTAGTGGTCAGATTGCGGAGTATATAGGGCGTAAAGGGGTACCCTTTTATTTACTTTCTCCTTTTTCTTGTGTAAAAGTGTGAGCTTTTGCTTCAATTTCAGTTTCTTGTCTGTAATTGCAGTCTTTGATGATTGCATCCATTCCGAATATTATTGGTTGGCTCGCTATCTCTTTTGCAAATGTAAGCTTGAATCATTGTAATATTTTATTTACCTAGAATCACATTAGTTATGTTTCAATGTGAATCCAAACACGCAATTGTTCAGTAAATAAATTGGTCTTGAGCTTGAACTTGAGCCTGCCTTGTTGACATGTTCTTCATTTTTCAGGATTCCTCTTTTCTTTATATGGGAAGATTGTTGGAAGGGTTTGGAGTAGGGATAATATCTTACACGGTAATTATAAAATGTTTTTCATTATGCCAATGTGGGATTAAGTTATGTATGGCACAATTATTAAGTGTTCAAACTTCAAATTCACAGGTGCCGGTGTATATAGCTGAGATATCACCGCCAAACTTGAGGGGTGGTTTGGTTGCAGTTCACCAGGTTGGCTGATGTGATATAATGACAAATAGTTAACATTTCTTAGATTAGTGATCCTTATTGTTTCTTTTCTGCGTAGCTCTCTGTCACCCTTGGAATTATGGTGGCGTATCTGCTGGGGATTTTTGTTGAATGGAGAATCCTTGCAATTTTAGGTAATAACCTCTGAGACTTGGCTAAGTGGGAAATTACCCTCTGTCTTCGAATGAATTTATGGTTCTTGTTATCAGATGTCATAAAATAACTAAATTTGGAGACTTTGTGAAGATGAATGTGATCCTTAACTCAAATTTTAAGTTGGATTCAGATTGTATCCTATGACTATTATTGGGCCCATGTTTTTCTATGCTCTAGATGTCTATTACTAGGCTTGAATGGGTTTTGGTACTGGGCTTATGCATATGCATTTGCCCATGCTGTGTATGAGGGGAGTGTTTAGGCGTCCAGATTCTCAACTGGGCTTTTTGGTAATGTCTCTGCTGAGTATTAAAAATACACTGATGTTGGTATATTATAATTCTTTTTAATAGGTTTTAAAACATCAAAATAAGTTCAATCAGTATATTTTGAAGGCATAGTAGATAGACAAACACCAAAAATACAACAGAGAATCTAAATTCGTGTTTGAGATCCCTAAATTGACTAGAGATATGATCAATGTAGTCCTTATGATAAAGTTTGAGTAATTCTCATCTTAGAAGACAGTTTTGTGAAGTTGAATTACATCTTGATCCCAAATTCTAAGATCATTCAATTCAGGTTTGATTATATCATAATCAGAACATGTCTTATATATTTATTCTAAGCTTGGAGTGTTGAGAAGGTTTAACCCCATTCACTGTTTCAGATTAACTAAAGAAAGACATTATTTAAGCATAAATTACTCCTCTATGTTCTTACTCTTGCAGGAATTTTACCATGTACAATATTGATACCTGGCCTATTTTTCATTCCTGAATCTCCTAGATGGCTGGTAAGTGTTGCGAATCAGTATTCATAAGTGTCATCAATACGGCTGTTAAAACAATATTTGAATTGAACTAAATTAACACTGAATTGAATCAAAGTGTATGAAAGAACTGAACTGTTTAAAAAAACTGTATTGAATTGTCATATAAATTTGGCTTTCAAAAATTGAATTGCTCCCAAATAGGACTATTTGAACTATAACTTATGAGATGAATAAATCTAATTTAAAATAGGATGAAGTCCATTGGTAATAACAGGCAACTCAAGCAAATAGAAAACAATTTAGAGTAGTTAAATTTCATTGGTTCACTCAAACTACGATACAGTTCAATTCAGTTCGTCTAAAACCAGTATACAATTTAGTTCAGTTCGCTTTAATCACTTTTAAAAATTAGTTTAGTTTTATAATAATTTAGTTTAATTCATGCATTTGGTCTTCCCCTAGTCATCAAATTTGTCTTGATAGTAATCAAATTTGTGTTGATAGTTTATTCAAAGTGTGGTTGCTTTACTGAACATAGGCAAAAATGGGAATGACAGAAGAATTTGAAACTTCCTTGCAAGTACTCCGAGGCTTTGACACTGATATTTCTGCTGAAGTGAATGAAATTAAGGTAATAAGCATTCACCAGTTTTATTCCAATGTATGACCCTCATATTTCCTATATTTTTATTGCCATTTAATGTATCCTAAAATTGACAATTTGTGTGGAGTCATGTTATTCAGAGGGCTGTTGCTTCAAGCAACAGAAGAACAACAATTCGATTTGCAGATCTCAAACAAAGAAGATATTGGCTGCCTTTAATGGTATTTCAAAAATCTATCTTCCTTATGGAGTTGGGTTGCATAACAAATTAACATTGACCATTAGAGTCTAACTAATCTTGCAGATTGGCATTGGACTACTTATGTTGCAACAGCTTTCTGGAATTAATGGTGTTCTTTTTTATTCCAGTACCATCTTTCGAAGTGCTGGTATGCTATGCTGATTTCTTATAATAGTCTGAAGTACTGTATCAGGAGTAATATAAGTTTATATCTCATGTTTGTATGACTTTCAATAACACTACTTTCTGTCCAAACCCATGAACTAAAATCATTGAAGTGATGAATTCAAATTTTTGAAAAATATTTAATGAAGCCTACAGTTGGTCAATTGTATGACAATGAATAATCACCTTAATATAAGAACTTTCTTTTATGGAATGGGGTTATGACAAAAACTTATTTCTCCTGATTATTTCTTGGAATATTCTCATGCTATTACATACGCAGTTATCCTTTATTCTCATCATTTCAACACACATTAAACAGGAATTAGTTCAAGTGATTCAGCAACATTAGGAGTTGGTGCTGTTCAGGTTCAGCTGAAATGAAATTTTTAATATCCTTTTTCCTGTCCACTATTCTCAATTCATTACCTGATAAATATTTAAATGTCACCCAGGTTCTTGCCACCAGTTTAACTTTGTGGTTGGCCGACAAATCTGGCCGTCGTCTTCTACTTATTGTGGGTCTAAACTTTTCTATCATGTTTGTTTAATGTGACTATCTGTTTGGAGGATTAGAATAAAAATGGTCAAATTTTCCATTGCATTGCAGGTCTCTGCAACTGGAATGACTTTTAGTCTCTTGCTTGTTGCAATCTCATTCTATGTAAAGGTAATAATATTTTATTTTGCTGCTAGCTACACATCATGAACTGTTTTATTAAAAGTATGTACGTGTCTGAAATTTGCCACCTGTTATTTATATATTTTCTGAAATTTTCTCCCAGGATATTGTATCAGAAACTTCTTCCTTGTATGGGATGTTGAGCACCTTGTCAGTGGTTGGAGTTATGGTATGTGAATACATGTAAATTCATTATTCAAATAATGTTTTTGATTGCTTGTTTGTTATCTGACTGTTGAGTTTTAAATTTCCAATTCTTTCAGGCCATGGTTATTGCATTCTCTCTGGGAATGGGAGCTATGCCATGGATTATAATTTCTGAGGTACGTTTCTGTCGTTTTACATTTTAGGCTTTTATTTCATAACTAAAGGAATATGCTGCAACTATGAACGATCAGCATTATACTTCTGAAATGGAGAATTGCATGATTGCTTTTGCTTGTAACATAAATTGTTGAAATAAAATTAGTAGTGTGCTTTACTGGTTGCATTTGAAGTCACTGTCAAAGTTAATTTGTTCAATAAATCATATCACAGATTCTTCCATTAAACATCAAAGGCTTAGCGGGGAGTGTTGCAACACTTGCCAATTGGTTAATTTCTTGGCTGGTTACACTAACAGCTAATATGCTCTTGGATTGGAGTTCTGGAGGTTTGTATGCATTGCCTATATTTTCCTCTTAAAATTTGTCATTTGTTAACCTGAAGCCACCTTTGTTCTTCTCAGGTACCTTCACCATATATGCATTAGTATGTGCCTTCACTGTAGGATTTGTTACCATTTGGGTCCCTGAGACCAAGGGAAGATCCATTGAAGAAATCCAAATGTCTTTCAGATGAAGTTTCTCCTCTAGCAGTTTTCTTTCCCCTTCTTCACAAGTTGATTTCAGAGTTTCTCATTTCAAGGGATTTGACATTATCGTGTTATTCATTTGATTCCATCCCTTGAAATTGGGAATCCTCTCGCAAGTTCTTGGAGGTTTTTGTGTGAATTGGCTCCTTCCTTAGACATTCAATTAGACTAGTCCATCCTGTATGCACCCTGTAATTGTTCCTTATTAATTATTCATTATGTTCTTTTGGTTTGTGGAAAATGTAAGCCAAATTAGTATAACTATTTATGGCCCCTTTGCAATTGTGTTGCTATTCTTTATAAATGTCAACTTATTAGCAGTTTCAGTTCAATTATTTTCATCTACCAAGATCACAGATTGCCAAAGGAATTGATTATTGTTTTTAAAAATGGAGCTGCAGACACTAGTTAGCCACAGTTCTGGTGAAGCTCAAAACCTGACAGATTATAAGCAGGGAAATTGTTAATTGTAGTATTTACATGGATTTCCATGTAATTCATGCATACATACATATATCATGTATATATACATACATGTATCATATATATAAATATAAATAATGCAAAAAAGAATCTTTTCAGTACTTTCTTGTGTCATGACTAGTTTTGGGTTGTGATTTTTGGGTGGTTGTGACGAGTGAAAAAGGAAAATGCTGATGGACCACCAACCCATGCTATTCTACACGTACAATTTGGTAGGATGGAGATAGCAAGAAAGGAAGAGAATGAAATTCTACACGTACAATTTGGTAAGATAGATAGCAAGAAAGGAAAGGAATGGGAGAGAAATAGAAACGTACACTCTCTTTTGTAGGACAGAGACAGCTATAATAGAAAAGAAATAGGAAGAATGTATAAATTTGTGATTGTTTTATAAATGATAAATAACAGAAAGGCTTCTATTACGTAGTAAACCTCCTTTCTACTGTAGTGAATCTTACTTTCCTTTTTCATTGCTCCATGTTGCCTTCACACTCTAGCACATACAATACTACTCTTGATGCTCAATGACTGATCAAGCAATCAATATTTCTTTTGTAATGGATACAATTTATTAGAAATAAATAAAACTTATTAAAAAAATACAAAAATCACCAATGAAACTTGTTAAAAAAAGAATGAGAGCCATCAAATTCACAAGCTGTGTTCTCAACAAACTTTGACAATATGTTTAAAGAAATTATTTTGAAGTATGTTTCAATATATTTTTTTATTGATGATTGTGGCAAGTACAATCACAACGTGTATGTCCTTCATTTATGGGTTCAGCAAGTAAAAAATAAAACAAATGGGCTTTGAGCATGGGTTTGGTATACAATTGTTTCAACAATCAACAGGATCGAAAAAGAAAGAAGACGCTACAATAGTTAAATGTGATTGGGATGTGTGTTTACATTGCTTTCAGCTAGAGTTCACGTGAAATGTACGTCACAGTTGCTTAATGCGTAGTCAAAGACGAGAACTAGAAATACGAGTTGCAACTTCTTTTAAAGGACATGCAACGTACCCTCAAACGAGGATCACCACGTCCTTCTCACAACGTAAATCTCATCCTCATTTCCAATGACTATGCTTCTTTTCACTCAATATTCCATTGGTATGCCAAAATGCTAGTTCCTATAGTTTTTGGGGCAGTGCATGCTCCACTTGGCTGCTGAAAATTAATTGAAAGTTTGAATAAACTATATAGATAGAGACCAACTTTCAAAAGAAATTGTGTACTTCATCAAAGAAATTGATCAAAGATCAAGCATTTTGTTCAGTTTACAAAAAATACTCTTATATAATGGAGGCTTATGTAACATATAACTATACTGCTACTTTGATGTTAATATGATATTTAAGCACTTAAATCTGTGTGGCAAAGACAAACTGATTTGGCCAAAATGTTTCAGAAAATTGCAGATGAAAGTGCAATATTGAATGCAAGAAAATTCTAAAGAACTGAACAAGAAATTACCAGCATTGCTGCACATTTTTAGGATTGGAAAACCCTTCAAGAAACCAGGTACGAGACATCTTTTACAAGATTATCATGCACTTGCAGAAATGATCCAGCGAGAACCACGACGTTTGAAGGCTAAGAAATTTAAGAAAAGAATATATACATACCTACAAACATACATATATACATACATACATACATACATATATATATATATATATATATATATATATACACGTGTGTATGTATATATTTCTTTAGATATAAAGAGCATCAACAGGAATAAAAAAATTCAGGTATTCCCATATAATAATTACTCCAGATACATGAATTTGACCAAATGGAAAATCCACAATCATCAAACACAAAAGAGGCAGTGAAATACACTATGAAATCTACAACATAGATAGACAGTGGATCTGGAAACTAATGAAGGGTACCCTGAATTCAATTGTAACAACCAGAGTATGTAACTGAACTGAACTATGTGACAATTTCCACAGGATACTTATCGATGCAATCTTCCCATGGTCCATTAGGAGAAGGCTTAATATTTCTCAATGCCTGCCAAACAGCACTGTTACATTTGAAACCACTTCCAAATGCAATTTGCCAAACCCTGTTGCCCTTCCTCACCCTCCCTTTGGCTTCAATGTAAGCCAACTCATACCAAATGGAGCTAGAGGAAGTGTTCCCAAATCGGTGCAGGGTCATCCTAGAAGCCTCCACATGCTCAGGACGCAGCTGCAGGTTCTTCTCCAGCTCATCAATCACAGCCCTGCCTCCAGCATGTATGCAAAAGTGATCAAAAGCAAGCTTGAAATCCGGTATGTAAGGCTTCACATCAGCCTTGAATAACTTCTTCATCAGCAAAGTCACAAAAAACAGAAGCTGCTCACTAATTGGTAGCACCAAAGGACCGAGTGTGGTGATGTTGGTTTTCAATGCTCCACCAGCAATTGCCATCAAATCCTTTGACAAAGAAACTCCAGTCTTGCCAGCATCATCCTGCTCCTGGTAAACACACCGGAACGCCTTGTCATCGGCACCGCGATGAGTTCTCACAACATGGACAAGCCGGTACTTCGCCCGCCTCCGATCGGCCAGCTTGTTCGACAGCAGCAGTGCGGAGCAGCCCACCCGGAAGAGGCAATTGGGGATGAGCATGGACTTCTTGTTCCCAAAGTACCAATTCTGAGTAATGTTCTCAGTGCTAACAACCACCGCATAAGTGTTCCTATGAATCTGCAAAAGGTCCTTTGCAAGATCAACCGCAATAACCCCAGCACTGCACCCCATCCCTCCCAAATTAAAGCTCCTAATGTTCCCTCTCAATTTGTACTTATTAACAATCATCGCCGAGAGCGAGGGCGTAGGGTTAAACAAGCTACAATTCACAATAAGAATACCAATATCCTTAGGCTTAAGGCTGGTGTTTTGGAAGAGATTATCCAAGGCACCAAACATGACTTGTTCCGCCTCTGCTCTGGCCGCAGCCATCGACGGCTGCGGCGGAATAGAGTGCATGGCCTCGGGGACGTAGGTCTCCTCCCCGAGCCCAGAGCGTTCCAGGATCTTGCGCTGGAAATCCAGGGACGACTCCTCGAAGTCTCCCGTGAGGCGGGAGTGGTCCATGAAACTCCGGAAGGGCGCTTTGAGGTGGTCGGCGGGGCGGAAGCAGGCAGAGTCTACAAGATAGACAGCGCGTGGGCGCGTGACGGCGTAAAGCGTGAGGCCGAAGACGAGGACGCCGGAGCAGGTAAGGATGGTGAGGAGGTTGTACTGGAGGTGGAGCCAGAGGTGGTGGAGGTCGGTGGTCTGGGAGACCTGGATTAGCGTGATGAGGATCAAAGGAACTAGAAATAGGGTTAAGAGGTTGGAGATCAAGTAGTGGTAACCTAATTTCACGTACTTGAGATTCACGCTCTGAAGGAAATCTGGGAGCGCCATTCGGCTCTGCTGCTGGATCTGAACTCCCACTGCGGAGTCGCCGGCGCCAGCTCCTCCTCCTTCTCCTCCTCCGGTGGTCATCGGAATGTGAATGTGGATGCGGTGTGAGTGAATGAAGTAATGAAGAAATGAAGAGACGAAGAAATGAAGGAACGTTGGTTTGTGTTGTTTGTTATATATATGGATAGTGTGGTGAGTCGAAAGAGGGTTACGTTGTAATGTTATGCGTTGGGAAGGTTCGGAGTTTAGAGTGTTGGGAAAACGGTTATTTCAGTGTTCCGTACACTGAGCACCAACACCTGGGACTGGGACTCAACACAAGGAGAGAGCTACCAATGTGCACCTCTGCTGCTGCTGAACGCAATTCATCTCTTCTTTCTCACACCTTTAAATAAAAGACAAAACTTTCATACATTATTATTCTATGTCCCGTCTATTCGCTTCATATTTCAATCTCAATATTATAACGTTCATTAATTTAGACAACTCGTTAAACAAACCTCACTGTTATTTTTTATTTTTTACTATTATTATTTTGTTTTTTAAATTATATTTTAACTTTATTAATGGTGGCAAATTCATATTATATTTTGAGTAAAAAATTTACGCTCCATGATGATTGGTTCCTTCTTAATATAATTTTCTCCTATGGAAGATGGATGTTATTTGTGTAAAAAGAACAAAAATATGTCAGAGACACGTTTTTAACACTCATTACTATTGATTAGTGATACAATTTCAGAAAATGCAGAAATGTTGGCTTAGAGACTGGTTGGTAGCGGGCATTAACATGTGGAAAAACACATGCTTTTGCTAAGAAACTAAACTCCTCATTTTAACCCTTCAAGTAATTCACTTTGATCAATTATTTGAATTGAATAATCAAATAAGTTGTTTTCCTGTGACCTAATTTTTATAAATTTAAGTAATTATGTGCAATCAGCATCTATTAAACTTAACATGCAAAAATAGCATTATATTCTAAATTAGTTTATTACCAGAATTGTGCAATGACAATCAATTTAATAGGTTAATACAAAGCAAGTTTCAAATTTTGTATGTCAATGACAGGGATACTACAGTTAACTTGTCCATATACTTTACATTTTATCAAATTAATTTACATAACCACTAAAACATTTTTTCACTCTATTTCTAATTTTACTATACTAATTAACTAAACATTCAAGTTTTTTTTTTACTTTTCCGTTCTTCTTTTTCTCACCACAAATAATGAAATCAGAGGTAAATAATATGTAGGCTAATTAATGATAAGTCAGAGGCAAAATGATTAGTATGTCATAGGAACTCAACTGAGCCAACCCTATATATTTAAATCAGTGGTCAAAAAATGTGTATGACAATTAATGACCGAGTCAGAGACAACCTGATTATTATGTCATATAATTCCACTGAGCCAACCCTGATTTTTATTAT